GGGCTATGTTTGCGAGATGGGGATTGCCGGATATGATCTGCACCGATAATGGGACAACTTTTACCTCGACTGAATTTCAACAATTCTTGAGAGAGAACGGCATTGTGCATCGCACGATAGAGCCCCGTCACAGCCAGGGTAATGGTCTCGCAGAGCGAGCCGTCAAGGAGGTAAAGTTGGCCTTACAAAGGGAGTCTGATAGCGGCGGACCGTGGGACCTGAGACTCACCAGATGGCTGATGAGACAGCGCACAACACCTCATTCAACAACCATGGTGACACCCGCTGAACTAATGATGGGTCGCAGGCTTCGCACACGGCTAGATCTGTTGTTTCCAGATATAGGCAAGACAGTCCTTCAGCAGCAAAACAGACAGAGGGCGTACTTTGACCGAACGGCTCAGTGTCGGCAAATGCTGGTTGGCGATGCGGTGTTCGCGAGAAATTACGCTGTTGGGTTGCAGTGGCTGCCTGGGGTGATCGTCGGCACCGATGGCCCGGTGTCTTACGTGGTCCGTTTGTTTGATGGCAGGATTTGGAGACGGCATGGTGACCAGCTGAGGAGGCGGCAGTCAGCTGAGCCGATCAGTCCGCCGGAGGCGGCGTCACGGGAGGTCCGGCGGCCGTCGTCCGATGCTGCTGTCCAGCCCGGGCGACCAGGTGGAGCGTCTCAGGGGACTGCACCGCCGGCACCGCTGTCGTCCGCCGTGCAGCCGTCGCAGTCGCGGCCGGGGGCGCTCACTCAGCAGCCGCCTCCGCCCAATGTTCGGTCGTCGCCGACGCGGCCGGGGGTACCGGCTCAATCGTCGCATCGGCCGTCGCCCGTCTCCGCCCCGTCGTCACTCGAGCCGGGTGGGCCGCCGCAGCCGTCGGCGGACGTTTGGCCGTCGTCCGCTCCTGGAACGTGTCCGGCGCCGAGCTCACCGGATGGGACTGGGCCTCATCCAGAGGTGGCGACATCTGTGGAGCGGACATTGCGGCGCTCGACTCGAACGCGGAGAGCGCCTGAGCTATATCAGGCAGGGAGTGGGATGTGATGGCCTGTTACCTGTACTAGTGTTACGAGGAAGTGCTTAGTTAAGGAAGGGGGAGTGTAGTGTATTGCTCTGCCTTGATGCTCTACTGCTCTGTCACGGATCGGTGAGGTCACGGTGACGTCACTTGCCGTAACGTCAGCGCGTATGTGTACTGCCGCCGTCTGCCCTGGGGCACGGTGGGGTCGGCCGCGGGCCGGTTGGGGCCGCGGGCCGTCAGTGTGCTGAGAGAACCAATACAGTACAGACCAGTTCGTCACATTAAGTCTTTGGGAGAAAACTGAAAGGCATCTCTTTTGGACGAGCGCCATTCTAGACAATATCAAGCATTGGGATACATATAAAATTAACACGCTGAATAAGAACATTGCACCTAGTGTGACCACTCATTATGTCCCAGAGGTCATCCCATGTCATGAAAGGTCCGCAGCAGTTTTTTTTAAAATAACTTTTGATAGATTCAAGCTAGAGCGATAAAAACACCTCAGCTGTGTTCAGCTCGACGATACGCATCGACTGCTATGCAGCATGACCTTTTCCGGTCAGGTCATGACCTTGACCTGAGGTCAAATTCTCAAAATTACCCTTCATAAGGTCAACCTTTAGTTTGTTCGACGTGTCTCGACGACAGAAACGCAATGCTGGCTAACGTAATGTCGAGACTCTCTTGAGTCAAATGTTATTGCAGGAAAACATTGTTCGTAAAAAGGCTATTTTTAGAGTCTTTTGCCCTCTGAAGGCTAAACCGTTGACCTGAGGTCAAATCTGAGCGCAGCTTGCAGAAACACCTTTAAAAGGGCTATCGAATGCGCTTTTCTGCGGCGCTATAGCTCTATTGGTTTCCGAGTTATGTGCCGCTGCTTCGAAAACGGAAAAATGTTGAAACAGGCAACATTTTACCTTTGATGACCTCTGGTGACCTGACATTCGACCTGACCTAAAAAATGACCGTTTTGTTTTCGTCCTGTTTTTGACGATCTTTCAAATGCCGCTTATCGCGTGTCACTACGCGGCCCAGGAGCCGAGTTAGACGAGGGAGTGTGCCCCCCCCCTCCCCAGCAGGACACGGAAAACTCAGACCACCAGCACGGCACGGGTCGTAGATGGGCACCGCTACCCTAGCAAAAGATATTAGCAAAAAGGTGACTTCCATTTACTGGTGCAGTCCTCCTTCTCCCGGTGATGCCCCCTCCTTTTTCTGGAAGCGTCTCACTTATGCTGGTATGCCTCACTTCCCGGGGGCGCCCAACCTCTGCTTGGATCGCCTAATCCATTATGGAGAGACCCACTTTGCTTAAGTTGCCTCATTTCTTCCTTCTAAGAACGACCAATTTGCTGTAGGCGGCCCACTTATCTGGGACGCCCATCTTCTGCTAGAAGTGCCCCTCTTCTTCCTGATGCGTCCCACTTCTACTACGAGTGCACCTTTTCTGTTAGGGCGCCCCTTTGCTGCTGAGGAGTCTTTTCTACTGTGAATAGGGCGGCCCTCTCCTGTTTGGCGACCCCAAATTATGCTGGAGGCGCCCCACTTCTGCCCAACTTTTGGTGGGGTGCCCCTCTCTTGCAGGGGGCACTTCTCTTTTGCTGGAGCCGCCACTCTTGTGGGGGCGCCCTTCCACTGCGGGGAACGTCTCTCTTCTGCCAGAGGCACCCCTTTTCTTCTTATGGGGCTCCTGTTTCTTTTTTTCTGGGGCGAGGCGACCCTCTGCTGCTCGGAGCGGGGCACACCTCTCCTTTTACTGGGGCACCGCCCCTCTGCTGGGGTTGCCCTTCCGCTGTCGTCAGGGGCGCCCCTCTTGGTAGAATATACTCCTTTTCTTTTTGTAATGGGGCGCCCCTCTTCTACCGGGGGCGCCCATCTGCTGCTGGGGCGTCTGTCTTCTGCCGGATATTGTCAATGGGGCGCCCATATCCTGTTTGGCGGGCCCAACCTCTGCTGGAGGCTGCCTATTTCTGATGAACTTTTGCTGTGGCGCCTCTCTTCTGCTGGGGCGCCCCTCTTCTGCTTGGGGCGCCCGTCTCCTACTGGAGACCCCTCTCTTCTGCTGGGGCGCCCCTCTTCTGCCAGTGACACCCATTTTCTTATTATGGGGCTCCTTTTTTGCTGGGGCGCCCAGCTGCTGTCAGGGCGCCCATCTTCTCGGAATGGGGGCGCCTCTCTCCTTTTGCTGGGGCGTCGCTCCTCTTCAGGGGGACACGTCTCCTGCTAAGGGTGCCCTTCCGCTGCCAGGGGCGCCCCTCTTGAACAGAAGGTATTTTATATTCTTGTAACGAGACGCCCTCTTCTGCTGGGGGCGCCCATCTGCTGCTGGGGCGACTCTCATCTGCTGGGAATAGGCAATTGGGCGTCACTCTCCTGCTTGGTGAGCCCAACTTCTGCTGGAGGCGCCCTATTTCTGCTGAACCTTTGCTGTGTCGCCGCTCTTCTGCTCGGGGCGCCCTCTCTGCCGCGGGATATGGGCGCCTTTTTCGGATGGCGGGGGGGGGGGGGGGGGCGGCCGCCCCCGTCGCCCCCCCCCCTGGATCCGCGCCTGGGCGCCAATACTGGACAAAGGGGCGCCACCGGCCCACCATATCGTCTAGGAGGGCGCCACTATCAGCAGAGGAGCGCCAATACTGGACAGAGGGGCTTCGCCATCAACTAGAAGCGCGCCGCTATCGACTGGAGGAGCGCCAACACTGGACAGAGGGGCGCCAGTCACTGAGGGCGCCGGGGACGATGAGCCAAAGGGACAGGGCATGCACGGAATGTCCTGTATGTGCGTACGCCACTGCATGCGGTAGTCAGCTCAATGTCAACATTCACTGATTATAACACTGGCCATAATAAACGTATCGGCTATCTTTGTACAGCCATCTGGAAACTGCGTGGTAGGCATTCTTTTTTTCGACAAAACCGAAAATAACGCAAATACTATGCTATCGGTCACTCGGAAATCGTAATAGCAAGACGCATGAGACTCCGCACCTTAGATTGACATTATCATCGTATTTATTTTCCATCCAGTTTGCCCCCAAAACCAAAAAGTTCATTTGCCCCCAAAACAAACTTTTGCATTTTATTGCCACACAAGGCGTACCTATACTTTGCTTAATGATGGACCCAATCGAAGGAGTAGAGCATGGCGCATCTATTTGCAGTGAGTTCCGACCGACTCATTACGTAGCCTTTGGGTTATTATCATCAGTTTTTTCCAAAAAAAGAATACCTACCACGCAGTCTGCTGAGGGCTGTACGTTCACCAGTAATTCGATGACAAAAGAATGTTGACACATCTGTGGGAAATGGGAATGTACTGTCATCCTTACATAAACCTTTTGTAAAATATGAATGCATAACACAACCTGGAATACAATTACACACCGTAAACGCACATTATTGTCGAATACGGGTTGAGGCTTTCACAGCTGACGGAATTGGACGGCATGATCACAATAAAATTGAGCGGCCGACACGCCGAAACCTTTTCAATCTCGCATGTGTTGATTGAGCTCAACAGATTTATAATAATAAACCAAGCTATATAATGCAATATGTACCTATAAACCTAGATCCTCGAAGTTGATCAACACATTGTAAACGTAATATTACGCTCGAATGCATAGGTTTCTATAGCATATGAATGTCATCGTCAACCCTTGCTGCGGAATCACGGCGAACACGACAACTGCTAGTACCGCTGGTGCCTAAACGGTCCTCTTTTCCTTGATGCAATACGACATGCAATAATTATGCATAGTGTTGATGCAATCATTGCAACCGCCAACCATATGATGCATGTTCGACAATTAATGATATTCTACTCAGTATAAGAGCATATTATGAGCAGGTAAGTTATTCTCAAAATAAAATGGTATATAAACTATCTGCTTGCCCCTTGACATAACGCCGGTTCAACCTAGCAAAGCATCTACAAAATTCGCATTGATAATATACGCCTCCTAAAGATAGGCACTTAAATTTCATAACAATCCCAGCATAACAAAGCTACATCTATTCACCCAATAATAGCGTCCCAGGTCAGTGACTCCGGCCAACGGTCAGGCACTGCCGATCTCGTCAGCGCCTCACTTGGCGGCGGCGGCGGCGTCCTCTCGCAGCATGGCACGCACGTGCGCCAGGATGCACCAGAGCTCCACGAGGGCGCAGAGCAGTCGGCCCACCACCAGCAGCGCCAGGCACGCCACGACCAGCGGCGCCGGCAGCCAGCCGAGTGGGCCACTGGTGGACGCGAACAGGCCGCGCCGCATGCCCACCAGCCAGATGGGCAGCACGTGCAGGCCGCCGATGGCCAGCACGCCCCAGCGCGTCTTGAAGCCGTCGGCCATCACCCAGCGACAGAGCGGCGGCCCGTCGGCGATAATGGCCGCCTTCCACTGGCCGCCGGCGCCGCTGTTACAGACAAAGCACAGCCACTCGAGGCAGGCGACGAGCCACCCCCAGTCAAACAGCACCGACCAGAGCATGGTTCGACCCACATTGTCCAACACTACATCCAGCCAGGCACCAAACGTGGAGCATTGTTGAAGCCGGCGCGCTGCCCAGCCGTCCACACCATCAAGAGTGGCCTGTAGAGCGTAGAACAGCACCATCTGTCCGGGCTGCTCTGCCCAGCACCACCAGCTGGCTAGAAGGCATGCCAGCCGAATATAGCCAATCAAATTTGGCACATAGAGGAGGATCTGTGCCTCACGAGACAAAACCATCCTTGTGACTCTGTGCGTCCCACGGAGTCTCGTCTCTGGTGTTGTGTCTGGAGAGACAAAAAGTTTCAAAACAAATATATTTTGATTAAATAGAAAAGTTAAGCCATAATAATGGATTTGATTCAGCAATGAATTAAAACATTTCGCTTGTATGGTGCCAAATTACATAGGTACCACATCAATATGGGTAAAGACTGAGTTCAAAAGATAAGTTACAAACAGAAACAAAGCCTGACCATGATTCTTACAGATGGCCTGACAAGAACCTCACTCAAGTATTCAAATGAAGAAATGCAGAAAATTACTGGAGAAATGTGAAAAATTACAGAAAGCACAGAATAACAGATGACATGCAAATGACAGATAATGCTAAAAAATGATTCAAAATCAGCTTTCTTGTTTATCTGTCAATGATGATGAGTGAAGTCAGGGCCCTGGCCCAGGGGCAGCCGACTCAACTGGGCAAAGTGGGACTAAAAAGTGAAAAAAATGGAAAGTCACATCACAAACCGGTGCATTTGTGGTTTCTACAATTTCAATTCATTTACAAAAATACAAATATTTACAAAAAGGCAGAGAAACAGAGATCCGGCCAAACCCACCTGAACATGTCAGTGCAAGTCTTCACATTTCACAACCGGTATATACTGCCTTGTCACAACCCACTGAAAATAACTTCACTGCAGATTATATGGCAGGGGATCTCACCTGATTTTTTGAATTTTTGTTATTGAACCCGCAGAACAGCTCAGTTGCCCTACTTGAAAAATGGGCTATTACGGTATATAGGGCCTTGGCTATTACCCTATTACAAAGTTCACCAGCTTATTTTGTCTCGGCTGCGCCACTTACACAACAAATATTGACTAGCAAATAAAAATGCGAACGTCTCACCGACAGAACCAGCTGCTTTCTCCACTATCAGAGCAGCAACTATTTGGGCTTAGGTAGGCAAGACTTTGGCAAGACAGCAAGTCCTAAACAGATCTCTTGCGTCTGAACCTGAATCGTGTGCAGAAAGGGAAGATAGGTAACATATAACTTGACAAATTGATCTGGAATGATATGTTGTTGTTGTTGTTGTTGTTCCTCCCGGTCACCGCCGAGGCGGTGACGGAGCCACGCGGCTCTTGTGGGCCGCGTAGCCGGCGGCCAAGGCCGCCACCACGTCGTCGCGCTGTACGTCTCGGGCCGTGCCTGTGATGTTACCCAGCGCTTGGAGGCGGGGGCCGAACAGGCACGGGCACTCCAGTAGTACGTGCGCCGGGGTGTCCGCGGCCTCGCCACAGACGAGACATCGACCCGCCGGGCATGTGATGTCGTTGCACTGAGCGCACTCGGGTGTCGGTCTGCGCCCAATGCGGTGGAGATATTGTTCCGACCGTCCCCAGTGTCCCGATCGGAGTTGGTGTATGTCGATGGCCTCCTCCCTGGTAGCGGCTCGGACCGGGTCGGGGGCGCGGTCCGCCATGACGTCTCGGTACCAGCCCGCAAGCCGGCTCGCTCGCCACTCCCTGCCGGCGACCCGCGCAGCAGCCCGCGTGAGGGTGCGGGCGTCGACCGGCGTCGTCCGCTGGGACATCCCGGCCGCCTCCTTCGCTAATGCGTCCGCCCTCTCATTACCCGGGAGCCCGCAGTGAGCCGGTACCCATTGGAGGTGAATTGAGCTGTTGCTTGCTTGTAGGCGCAGCAGTTGGGTCCACACACTGGCACCCAGTGTTGTGGTCTGGGCCGAGGCGCCTGCAGCCAGCGTTAGCAGGGCCGCCCTGGAGTCCAGGCAGGCGACCACCGGCAGGCCCGCGCTTCTCGGCAGTTCAGCGACTGCCTCCAGCGCTGCCAGCAGCGCGGCGAGCTCCGCGCACGTGCTGGAGCACAGGCGGCCAGCAGGGACCCTCAGCTCCCAGTCATCTTCGGTTGGGGTGCGGATCAGGGCGCCGCCCCCGCCATTGGCGACGCCGTCCTCCGCCGATCCGTCCGACCATATCCAGACGGCTTCCTCAGGTAGCTCCCGGATACGCTCTTCAGCTGCGGCACGCCGAACGTCTTCCGGGGCCGCACGTCTGGCCCGCGGGCCGAGGTCCAGATGGAAGTGGACGGTAGAGTTGTCGGCCCACGGCGGCAGGGTGTGGTGGAGGCGGGCCTCGACGGGTATGTCTTGCGCGTCGGCCGCCGCGAGCGCGGCGGCGCCCACCTCGCGCCATCCTGTGGTCTTGAGTCGTCGAGGGACGACCGCCTCCCCGACCGACCTCAGCGGGTCTCCCTCGGGGAGGGACGCCGCGAGTCCCACCATTCTCGCTGCCAGTGCCTGTCTCCTGGACCAGGCATCTGTCATGCCGGCCTCGGACATCAGGGCGTGCACCGGAGTAGATGCCGTGCATCCGGTCACTGCCCGCGCGGCCGCGCGCAGCTCCCGATCGATCAGCTCGACGTGCGAGGGCGATGCCGCCGGCAGCCACGCAGCCGCGGCGTACTCCAGCGGGAATGATATGTCGGGTAACGGCTTATCATTCCCGCTGGAGTACGCCGGAATGATATGTCGGGTAACGGCTCGGCGGCGCGACTTTCGAAAAGCACAGACCAGACCAGAGCCTACAATCCTCCATGGTAATCCTCACTATATAACCACCCATAGGCACTGGCGGATCCAGACTTGCGTTTTGGGGGGGGGGGCCAACTCCTGCAAGTAACCAAACCTAGGGTACCCCCAAATCCTGTTTTCTCATCGGATTTAGGCCACTTATTTTTTCGTCACAGCCCTGAAACGATATTTTTTTAAACTAAAAATAAAAAAAAATAGAAATGGTAGCCCACCCAACCCGAGCCTAAATATTACTTTGAAAACACTTCAAATTGCTTTTGTCGACCAATTAGCCCGCTCCGGGTCGGTGCGTGGCGCAGCCTTCGCGGGCTGGGAGGTGTCGGTTGGACCCCCTGCCGTTCGGCCCCTGATTAAGCTAGAGCTCGCGGAAAAAAAAACAGGCGTGTTGCCCGTGAGTGACGAGACGAAGCCGATGATACCCGATTTTAAGGTCCTTGGTCATTGGTTGACCTTCCAGGGCGGTGTTTCACGGTCGTGCTGACAGCCGCTGACAGCGCATTCTGCGAGCTAAGGTCAGCCTTCGGTAGTGTTGTGGGTATAGGCTTGTTGATGTCTCCATTGAAACCAAAAGTGCCATCAGCGCTGGCAGCGGCTGGCAGCGTGCCGTGAAACACCGCCCAGGTCAGGTCACAGACCCAAAAGACGGGAAAATCAGGACCTGTCAGAACCTCCTAAAGTAAGGTTGTAATACGTTTTTTTTTGTGCTGATCACAAATTTCATGTTAGTTTGGATCATAGATAATGTCTTCATGCGTTTAGGCCATGTCGGGGCAGGTCAGGTCAGATCAACCAGTAGGGGTACTTATGGGCGTCCGTATAGCAGGTGTCCACTACCACTGGCAGCTACGTAACATGATACGAAGGCATCAAAACCACTTCGTAAATGTTCAAATGGCTGCAAAATGCTAAATTCAAAATCAGCTAAACGAAACTATCCTAGAAACATGTTAAACTCGGAAAAGTGCACCGAGGTCATCAAAGGTCAATGACCTGACTTGACCGTAAGGTGACATTGGCATCCGCCCTTATGCGTGGGAGCAACATCATATCACATGTTTGAGCGTTATAAACCACGAAAAGACTATAAAAGCGCGGATAATGTGAGCCGACATACGCCGAATCGCTATTCCGGCCAAACATGGCCTCCAACATGGCCAAACAGTCTCGAGAAATAGGCCACAAGTCAAAGTTCACTTGGGTCAGGGTCATGAAATTTTCAGAATTTGTCACCATGAGGGTACTAAAGTTTCGTCGCGATCGGCTTCATGATACCTTACACGATAACTTCACACGTCGATCGAGAGTTAAAGCATGCATGGATGAAGGAGAACCTGGGGATGAAGGTTCTTTCATCCATGGTTAAAGTGTGCAATAAGAACTTCTTGGGTGAAGACAAGACCAACACTTTTATCAAGCTCACAGATTTTTAATGATACGGTATTTTCTCTCTACCTACTACGCCCTTCTCACATTCATTTTTCTTTAGTGTTTTTGGGGACAAAAAATATATGTTGTTCCCCTTTCAGGCTTGGGGGCATGACCCCGTGGCCCCCCTGGATCCGCTAGGCCGAAACTAACTAGGTCGTTTTCAAACGGTCTGATATTTCAGGTCATAGTTTGCAAACGGCCGGTGTTTTCAGGTAGTTTCATATGGCCTGACTGGGCCAGGCCGTTTGCAAACGGACCGAATTTTCATACGGCCTGTAACATATATTCAGATTTCGACATCTGTCGTAGCATCAAATGCTGATGTGGCGCACTCAAAAGCCGGAATTGGTCCTTGGATGCCGTAAGGACCCTTTTAAGAAATAAGTGACCCGACTGACCCTTAGAGATTGGCCTGAGCTGTGACCGAAATAAGTCTTTTACCGTTTCGCAGGAAGGGACAAAAAGGTCCCTCATATGCTTCTTGTGCAATTACGAAACAAAACAATTTTTTTCAACGAAAACTCAGTGAGTTTTCCTAAAAAATTTATTGCGCATATTCCGTGAATGAAAAGTTGCCGGGTCATGTCAGGTCAGGCTGCCACAGCAAGTTTGTTAACTTGACAGCTCAATCGATATTTATGCAATAAGACCTTCTCGGGTGACGATAAGACATGACGACACTTTATGAAGGAAGCTAGTAAAGTAAACCCGGTAGTTTCTCCATAGGCGCGGGAACCGGGGGGAGGGGGCAGTGGTGGCAGCTTGCCCCCCCCCCCAACTCTGGGGCCGTGCGGGCGGTGCCCCCACAACTTTCAGACAGAATACCGCTCCTTTTTGCAAATGTTTTCTTTTTTTGTTGAAAAAGCCAAGGGATGAAAAATAAGCGGCCTAAAACCGGCGAGAAAACTATATTTGGGGGATCCTAGGTTGATCTCTATCATGGTGTGACCTCCCCCCCCCCCCCCGTCTAAAAGTAGTTCCCGCGCCCCTGGGTTTCTCTACGCTATTGAATCACGCTGCTGATTCTAGTAAGTATCTACTACACAACCTTCTCACATTAATTTTTCTTCGAGCGTTTTGGGGGGCCAAAAGATATGTTGGCCCCCTCTTTCAGGCTTTTTGGGCCCATGGCCCCGGTGGCCCCCTTGAATCCGCCAGTGGGGGCGGTGCCCCCACAACTTTCAGACAGAATACCGCTCCTTTTTGCAAATGTTTTCTTTTTTTGTTGAAAAAGCCAAGGGATGAAAAATAAGCGGCCTAAAACCGTCGAGAAAACTATATTTGGGGGATCCTAGGTTGATCTCTATCATGGTGTGACCTCCCCCCCCCCCGTCTAAAAGTAGTTCCCGCGCCCCTGGGTTTCTCTACGCTATTGAATCACGCTGCTGATTCTAGTAAGTATCTACTACACAACCTTCTCACATTAATTTTTCTTCGAGCGTTTTGGGGGGCCAAAAGATATGTTGGCCCCCTCTTTCAGGCTTTTGGGGGGCCATGGCCCCGGTGGCCCCCCTGGATCCGCCAGTGGGGGCGGTGCCCCCACAACTTTCAGACGGATTACCGTCCTTTTTTGCAACTGTTTCTTTTTTTTGTTGAAAAAGCCAAGGGATGAAAAATAAGTGGCCTAAAACCGGTGAGAAAACTAGATTTGGGGGGACCCTAGGTTGATCTCTATTATGGTGTGCTCCCCCAGTCTGAAAGTAGTTCCCGCGCCCCTGACTTTCTCTACGCTATTGAATCACGCTGCTGATTCTAGTAGGTATCTACTACGCAACCTTCTCACATTAATTTTTCTCCAAGCGTTTTGGGGGGGGGGGCCAAAAGATATGTTGGCCCCCCCTTTCAGGCTTTTGGGGGGGGGGGCCATGGCCCCGGTGGCCCCCCCCCTGGATCCGCCAGTGCCCATAGGTTCGGATGGAACTTGCTTGCAAAGTTCACACTTCATGATGGATCGATGGACCATTTTCCCATTTTCGGCGTACGATCACATTACTTGCTGCGGAAACTCGAAATTCGTATTGAAGAGTTAACAACTTCCTTGACAGAGATTAGAGAAAGTTGCCAATAATGCTGTGAATGGTTAAATGACATGTCTTGCTCGCAAAATAGCTTTGGAAACGGTAAATTTCCTCATGCTCCGCCTCCCGTCTTGTCATGTCCGTAAGAACCCATACCTACATTCTTTTCGAAATATCGCGTGAATTCTGCCATTGATCATTCCATTCATTTCCGACTTAATATGTTTAAACAGTGTAATACAAGACAAGATCATGCCATCTATTGCAGCTTACAATGTTAACTCACCTTTTCAATACGGCATGAACAGTACCGCGATGCTCGTAAAAAAAATCTGCCTGGTATCTGCAACCGGAAT